GTAACGCCGTTACTTGTAACGCCGTTACTTGTAACGCCGTTACTTGTAACGCCGTTACTTGTAACGCCGTTATAACCATCACTGGTTACAGCAGCATGATCAAGTTTAAGTAAGAGTAGGATGATGCTCAGGGGGTTTGAGAATGGTGTTTCTGAGAAAAACATCACCAAACCCTTAGCTGGGTTTGAATCCAGAGGACACAGTCAGAAGAAACATGAATGTTAATGAAGATCAGTTTGGTTTTTAAAGTAAACCAAAACAAACTGAAGGACAGACGTTTTCAGGGAGACGTTTGTGAATGATTCACTGATTTAGATATCGGTAACTCTCGGCAGTGAAATCTGTTTTCACGAGGAGGCGTTTGGATTTGTTTAAAAGTATTAAAAGCACGGCTGAAAAGAAAAGTTATGCTGATGAGGTGCCGAGGGTTTGGATAACCTCTGACCTTTGACCTTTAGGAGACAATGAAGCAGCTGACGTGGCTTGCGGCGGAGCAGCGGCTCTGTACAGATGGCGACTCAGAGGAGGAGCACTCTCCCACCTCTCCAGGGTCGCAGGAGGAGGAAGAGGAAGAGGAGGAGGGGCCAAAAGGAGAGGACTCAGGGGAGGGGCGGAGCAAAAAAGCAGGTTTAGACGAGGAGACGCCGTCCAGAGAGCGGACGCCCGGAGGAGTAGGGGGGCGATGTCCCGGACGAGGACGAGGTGGGTCTGCGTCTGAACACCGTTTAAAAGACTCGCCATCTGTGACTGAATACTTCCTGTTTCTTATTTTCTGTCATCTCTGCAGGCCGAAGCCAACCTCATCGTGGCCTCAGGAGGAGCCGTCAGGAGCGCCACAGCAAAGATGGCGCCAAACTGCTGCTGCTGTATGACGAAAACATCCTGGACAACGACCCGCACAGAGAGAGCAAAGACATGGCGTTCGCACAGAGTTACCTCAGCAGGGTGAGCAATGGACGTTAAATCGTCCCGCTGTTTGCTGAGCTCCCGTCTTTGCACACGTGGTCTCTCCAGACGCTGACATCATCGCCTCCGAACCTCCTTTCAGTTTCCTGCGTTTCTTGTGATAAATGAGAAAACGTTCGTGGCTGCTCCTCCAGCAGGATTGGTCAGATTTTAGTGAATGATCACTTGATAGGTCTCCACCCACCCCTCCACCATGTGGGAGGTAGAGCAGGTCAACTACTGATTGGAACGCTGGTGGATCGCTGGCTCCTCCAGTCTGCATGCCAAATATCCTTGTGCAAGATATTGATGTTCTCCGATGCGTCTATCGGAGTGTGAATGTCGTTAGAAAAGCACTCAGTTTAGAGTCAGTGCCTATCAGAATGCGTGTTGTTGGGTGAATGTGTTGTATAGAGCGCTTTGAGTACTCCGGGAGAGTAGAAAAGCGCTATATAAGAATAAGTCAATTTACCACACACTGTGCTCGTGGTCATGTTTGTGGTTTCACCTGTGAATCATCACCTGGATGAGAACGTCATTGACGTTCAGCTGCTTTTGCTTCGGCACATAAACGGTGCAACGTGTCCGGTCTTCCCTTCGGGCTCTTTGGTTCGTGTTTGCATGGATTATTGTTAGCATTGTAATCTCTGAGGATCACAAACAACAGCATCGTCAATGACTCCCGCATCGCGTCTCCCGGGATTTGTGTCTAGCTTTTGTTGTTCTGCGTGTTAGAAGGAGCTAGGAGGAGTGACCACAGCAGCACGACGTCTGTGGGTGAATGAGAGGGAAAGATTGATGGGGTAATGTAAGTGGAATCTGTAGTGCCGCCACACGGACACTGGAGGGCAGTAAAAGTAAGATAAGAT